AACATGCTTCGCTTCCAAGGGCGACGAGAGGGAGGCGATATCATGCTGGAGGAATGCCCTCAATCAGATTCAAGTAGGCACAGGCAACAAAAGCCAGCCCCCCAAGTCCGAGACGGAGCGCGCCCTGGTCGAGAGCTTGAGAGAGCTTGAAGTACAGTGCAAAGAGAGGATAGACCTCCTCCAGGCCCTCCGTATCTCACGCCAGGAGCTTTCGGCCCAGCAGTTCACCCACGGCTCGGCAGCCGAAAGCGATAGCCCGGATGACCTTCCGATGTGTCCAGACATGTCCAACAGAGGATGGATCGGAGATGGAACCATACCCGCCATCACGTATCCCGAACTGTCGAGTTCACCCCGACCGCAACGTCCTTCCATAGCCTCAAGGAGAACGTCCGAGCGAGCAGTTGTTGGAAGTCGCAACTCTCTCGAGCATTCTGATGCCTCGTCCTCTGCTCGGCCGCCCTTTTTACCGAGCTATAGCTCACCAGTCCCTCCCAAAATTGCGATGAAATCACCTAGCCCCGACAGGCACACGATGCGAACCACGCTTCGCTCGGGCAAATCCGACAGGTCCAACGTGCGGCGGAGGACACCTTCGAAGCCCAACGAAGGCCCGGGTGCCAATAAAGCAGCTACTTTGGCTTGGACTAATCTGCAATCGAGAACACCTGCCGAAAAGGATCCGGTCGCAGAACACTACCAATCTCCATCGAGCGCGCCGGAAGGGCGATCGCTCCAGCCTCCGCGACTCCCTCGTAAACAATCCCAAAATAGCTCGTCCGCATTGCCGAGTCATTGGGATAGCCACACGAGGCGGCTTATACAGTCTGCCGAGCAACGAAAAAGCCCTGACATAGCTTCTCCAATGCATCAAGAACCCTCCACCCGTGTCTCAGGAGACTTCATAAGCACTAGACCATCTTCACTTGCCTTGGGAGCGGCGTCGAGTGCTCTTGGAGCACTGAACATCAAAGATACATCAATCCCGAACTCGTCAACGAAACGGCAAGTTTTATCGTTGAGGGAGACACGCCCTGCCCGCGGATCCGTGGGTCATAATGGTTCGAGCTCTACGCCCCCAGATCACGCGGTCAAGGCAGAAAATCGAGCCCAAAACGGTTATACAAGCCGAGAGGAGACGGATAATGCGAGTAACTCACACAGTTCGCAGCGTAGAAATTTTGCGTCTGACGATGAGTCCACCTCATCCAACGAGGGAGGAGGCGTAAAGGCTTCGTGCTCTTCCAAGCCCAAGGGAAAACAGAAGGCGTCGCCGGTGACTGCTGACCCGGATACACGCTCGGTCGAAAGCACAGAAAACGAGGAAGAGGCGGTGGCCAAAAGTATGTGGGAGAAGAGAAAGAAAAAGATGCTGAGGAATTTGCCCCCGGGTGTTGACGAAGAAGCGGCGAAATCCATATTCAACGAGATTGTAGTGCAAGGGGATGAGGTGCACTGGACAGATGTGGCCGGTCTGGACATCGCAAAGAATGCTCTTCGGGAAGCGGTGGTCTATCCTTTTTTGCGGCCAGATCTCTTCATGGGGCTACGCGAACCGGCCAGAGGCATGCTTCTCTTTGGGCCGCCGGGCACCGGGAAGACGATGTTGGCTCGAGCCGTCGCCACGGAGTCGAAATCTACCTTCTTCTCCATCTCGGCCAGCAGCCTGACAAGTAAGTACCTAGGCGAATCAGAGAAGCTGGTCCGCGCTCTCTTTGCGCTTTCCAAGGTCATGGCACCGAGTATCATCTTTGTCGACGAGATCGACTCCCTGTTGTCACAAAGGTCAGGCTCGGGGGAGCACGAGGCCACACGGAGGCTCAAGACGGAATTCCTGATTCAGTGGAGTGATCTGCAGCGAGCTGCAGCCGGTCGCGACAGCCCCGGGGGTGCAAAAGACGGCGGCGACCCGAGCCGGGTGCTTGTGCTTGCGGCTACCAATCTGCCGTGGGCCATCGACGAGGCAGCCCGTCGCCGTTTCGTACGGAGACAATATATTCCACTGCCTGAGCCCGAAACGAGAAGCACGCAACTGAAGACGCTGCTTGGCCAGCAAAAGCACAGCCTCACAGACGCCAATATCACAGAGCTGGTCAATCTGACCGCAGGTATGTACAATGCTTGCCCCCTCTCATCCTGGGAACACCCATTCTACATGAGGGCAAGTGCTGACGGGACTTGCAGGCTTCTCTGGGTCTGACATCACGGCGCTGGCCAAGGATGCCGCCATGGGCCCGCTTCGTTCACTTGGCGAAGCTGTACTGCACATGACTATGGATCAGATCCGGGCGATCGAGCTGGAAGATTTTCGGGCCAGTCTTCGTACCATCCGACCCAGTGTGAGCCAAGAGGGGCTCAAGGAGTACGAAGACTGGGCGAGGCAATTTGGAGAACGGGGTGGATAAACGAGTGACAGCTTGTCGTGGCTACAGAATCTGCTTGGAAACATTTGGGTGATGAATGATGGATGTGGCCGTGGTCAAGGCACGTCCTGCAAAGAGCCAAGGACGGTGCGGTCTCACGCCCTGTTAGCCGGTGCTGTAAAGGAGTAGTATTACATGATTGACATATATACATATACATATACATACAAATACAATCCGAGGGATCGTGGAGAGACTACCTCGTATAACCTCCGCCAACCAATGCATCCACGGCGATACGTGCTTGAGGCGGGATGCCTTGTGCATACGTAGTGTCGCCTCCTCGTGCGCGTCGAAGGGTTTCTTCTGCCCTCCAGGTATGCTCGCTACAATGGGGCGCGTTGGGGCCACAGTTGCCTCGTAGCAGTCCTTCTCATTCAGCGTATCAGTCCCCCGTGCATCAGTTTCCGGTTTTCAAGCGATCAGGATAGCGATTCGGCCGATTGGCGGGCGTTCTGGGGACCATCGTCGGGGCTCCGCCTCAGAGCCCTCCGCTCGTCCTTCTGCTGCCTCTTAGCGGTGAGTTCGGCGACGCGTTCTTCGAGCGTGGGAACGGGTGGACGCTGATCGATAGGGGCGCCGTATGGGGCGATGATGTGCTTGATGACGTGACGGACGTGCTGGGACTCGCGCCAGGAGGACTGGATGGCCACGACGTCGCCCTTGCGCAGGGAGTTGCGCGGGTCGTGGACCAGCTTGTAGTGAGGCGCCTTGAACCACTTCTGGACTCTAGGCTCGTACCGTTGGCCGCCGAGCTTGACCTTGACAGTCTTGTCCATCAGGCCGGCAGAGACAACGATGCCGTGCAGCTCTTTGCCAGCCAGCTGTGAGAGCTCTTGAGGGCCGAGGTTCATGCCGGCGGCGATCTGGGCGGACGAGAGCCTGGATCTAAAAGCCATGGTTGACGTGATGATGTTGACGTGATCCTGAGGCACGCTTTAGGATGTTGAGGCGGCAATGGGCTGCGGCCGCGTGGAACTTGCACTGGGTTTGCTGGGATGTCGTCGCCGTGACGCTGTATTTGAGGCCGTCCAAAGTTCAACCTTGAGCCCGGAGAGTTGGAGGTGGACCCCGACTCGTCGCCAAGCGCTGGTCGGCCGATCCCTCTCTGCCAGGTAGTAGCCTCCAGCTGTCCTTGATCAGTGCTACTACCACCACCACCACCATTCACACAGCGAATCTTCCGCTTCCGCTTCCGCTTCCGCTTTCGCATTGCCTCAACTCGTGACTCTCTATACCGTTCATTCCGTTCTGGGTGTCTCTATTCTCTGCTCTTAAATTCACCCTGAAAAATCTCCCGTAGCGAGAGCTGCGGTTTAGTCCGCAGCTTGCTCGCAATTAGTATCCAACTTCCCACTACAAATTCCATGGTACAGATGCCTAAGGGAGATATGCGATACTGTCTACATGTAATCTGCTGCGGAATTATGAGTCTATGTGTGACTTGCTGTAGGTACATGTATGGAGGCTCAGGTCAGATGTACAGGTAATAGCGCATCAAGCTGAGATCATGACTCTTCCCGCCCCCTCTCCGAGCCCAAGAGACTAGTCTCTTCTGCCATATGTGCACTTCTCTCCTTCGCCTGATGAGGCCTCGTCTTTTGTAGACTCATCCAAACTGCAGCACTTATGATCAGAGCGCTCCCCACCAAGCTCAACACCGGTGGCGTCGTTCCCCAGACTACCCGCTCGATTGTGACGGCAAATACCATTTCGAAGTACTATTACTCGTTAGCAAGCCCATCCACCGTAAAGGCCACCATCACGCACCGTCATGTTCGTCGCCCGCCCTCCCGTTCGATCCCGTCAGCGGGGACCGATGCGGCAGTGTCCGCGGCTGAAGGCGCTCCGGGCACCGCGGTAGCCGCCGCCCCGTACATCCCTTCGTGTCCGTTCTTCTGGGTCTCGGATCTCATGTTGGCGCGTGAGTAGAGATCCAGGCTCGGACGGGTCGAACATAACCCTCACACAAGGGCCAGGTGAAAACGATTAAAGAATTTTAGTCTTGACATTGCTCGTGACCAGCCGGATCCACTTGCCTTTAGCCACGAAGATCGCTGACTCCCGAGCCGGATCTTGATTTCCCAATGCGCCCTCTTGCAGGTGACTGGCAGTCGGCGCGGGAAAAGGTATAAACATCACATATCGGCTCTCGTTCTGCTTTATGTGTTAGCTACTGAGTCGGGATGAGACGGAATCCAAGGTATGGTGCTGGTCCGTAAGGAACAATTGCGGCCTCAGGAGCTCTCTCTGGATGGAGTTTGACGCTTTGACGTTCTTCTGTCATGCAGCTGAGCACTGCTACGCTTCATACGGCGCGATCCAGGCAGTCGCAGAGCGGGGCGTGGAACATGCAAAAGCATGAGATAGACTATGGCGTTGCCACATTGACCCTGGAATGGTGTGTGCGTAGGGGAATAGAAAGTGTGGAGGGAGCAGTTGCATTTTGTAGTCCTGGGCAACTCCATTAGGAGGCACAGTGAGTCAGCTTGTCCAGTTGCTACAGGTAAGGGTTGCTCAAGGGAAGGGGATTCAGGAAGCAAGAGACCGAGATAGTTAAGAAATAAACGAAAAAGAGGGCACGTACGGGATTCGAACCCGTGATCTCTCCGATTTTTAAACCCAAACGGAGTGAGGTAAACCACTTCTCTAACGCACCTTGCATCGCAGTGACCCTATATGCAATCATATAGCAATGGACTGTTGCTGTGGCTACAACGGTTAATCGTCGGTGGAGCTGCTCTTGTCTGTTTGGTATTGGACACTCGTCGGGTGACATTCAATGAAAGAATACGGTTTATCTCAAATCCGTTTCTGCTCCATGTGCAGTCAGTTATTTAAGCTTGTGCTCTGGTTTCATTCTTGAGTGCGTAACAGAAATGCTAGTGAAGTTAGATGATGCAGAACTGAGCACACTCACAATATCCATTTTGGACATTCGTGGTTGGCATTGGAACAAAGGCGAAGTTTGACCCTTTGAGGTATAAACTCCTCCCAGTGTACCTTGCTGTTTATCGGGTTAACCAGAACTGCAAAACACTCATGTCCGGCAGTCCAGGTTCAAGCGCAGAACTTATTGGATTCAAATATATGTCCTGGTCAGACATGGGATGTATAAGAGTTTCCTGCCGTCGAGTCAGGCATCATGAAAGAACATGTTACCCACAGAGGAGATATCACGCCGCTGATACAGACAGGTATCCGGAACGACTTGACAAACTTACCTCTTACGCAGATAAGGCAAACCGAAAAGATTTTCCATCAAATCTTGGATAGGAATCCGACAAGATAGGGTTACATATACATTTGTTGGCTGTCTGTGCGTTGCAAGACCAGAACCATCTGTATACAAATCCGATGGTGAGATTGTTATCTATAACAAGATCCCTGGTATATTACCACCACCACCCTCGTTGCCACTGTGCCTTTGATTGTCACGTTCAATTTCATCTCGCTTTGTAATGTTAGGTTGTTGGAGAAGATTCAGACAACGAGGAGCATTATGTCTCTTTTGGTGTAGGACGTGGCTGGCTCCGTTACGCAGATATTCTGGTATGAAGAGTACTAGGCACTATGTGTGCGCGTTCACCATATAAGGTACAGTCAAGTATACAAACCATTAAGTCATGTTTTTGGTGGCAAGGATCCAGTTCGAGATTTCTCAGTTGCTTTATGGATTTCCAAGCTGCTGTGGACAACAACCCGTCAGTGCCTAGCTGAATATATGGATATGATATAGAAAGCTAGAATGAGAGTGAGATGTCTACGCTTTTGCCTACAGGGCGGTTTCAAGGCCACGCTAGTTCGATCATCACCGAGGCCGTGTTACTCTGCTAATGTGTAAGATTTGGCCTTCTTCATAGGCTCGGTGATTCAAAATCGCTATGCCCAATATACTAGCCAGGGAAAAGCTATAATATTTGAGTATATGCATTCAAGACTGTGAATCATAGATACTGGTACTGCCAAAACCTCTACACCTAACCAGATGCCAGTCTTATCAAAGCAGCCATATCACCATTAAAGGTGTCCGAGTCACCACCGTATTTATAGGCGTCGTTAAACTGCCAGATCGTTTGATAAGGAAAGCCGGAGGGAACGCTCGGACTGGTGGCATAGTTGGCGAGTACGAGAGGATTGGTGTCATGGAATGCACTGGAGCCACCGGTACACTCGGTCCACCACGAAGGGCTGGTGTATAGCAACGGATAGACACCAGTTTTGGAGTGATAGGTGTCGCTGAAGTCCTTTATCCAGGATACGGTGGCGCTGGTTGAGAGCACGCAGCTGCCCTCGAGGTCTAACATGCCGGGCAGCGTGATCCCGTCACTAGTCCAGCCACCGCCATGAGCAAGGAAGTAGCTGGCCTGCGTGGCCCCCGAGCTGGAATCGAGGTGCGCAAAGTGGTAGCCGCCTCTGATGAACCCTGCCGCAGTGGCACCGCTATAGTGAGAGCTGAAAGAAGTGTCTTGATAGGTTGTCCCCTCGGTTGCCTGCCGAGATATCAATACACGAGTTAGCGAAAATGAGGGCAGGGTACTCTGCTCACCTTGATAATGACGAAACGAGCCCCGGAGTTGTATGCTGCTGCGAAGTCGACTGACGATTGGTAGTGGGAGATATCAAAGCCAGAAACAGCGGCCTGGGCCACACTGCCGAGGCCAAGAAGGGCGGTGATTGCAGACTTCATGATTCGATGCTGATCGAAGAAGAAGGACTCAAGTCAACTCCGTCGGCACGATCGCCCCTTTATACCTTTGCGTATTATGACTGCTATGTGACTAACACAACATTCAGAGCGCCCTCTTGCACCCATCGTGCCGAGTACCATGACGCGATGCAGCAGCAAAGGTCCCGAATAATTACCCAATCTGAGTAAAAGATAGTCAAGGCGGTACCCTAAGGCAGGTCTAAGGAGCTCTGGCGCTTGAAGATAGCAGGCTCGCCGGGTTTGTTAGGGACAATTGGAGGCAACGATCTTCCTTCCGCCATTGCATGTGCTGCAGATCACTGGAACACGACCTCTGTACAGACCCTACGACGACCGTGAGTTCGCCTTGCTAAAACATGTTTCGCACAGGTCGTACCTAAACGTATGCCGCCAGAGTTGATCGAGGCAAACTGTGCAATTTTGACCTGCCAATCCAGGAAGCAAGCGGAACCAACGTGGCTGATTTCCGCCTGCGGTGATCTGCATGAACATCAAAGAGACGCTAGTTGAACGGAAGAATTCCGTTGTATATGGGTAACTCTCGACTGCTGGACATCTGCTGTCTCCCGTACCCTACTTTCACCACACGAATTGACGTCGGCCGAGAAATCGACCATCCCTTGGCATTGCAAGATTGTTTCACATCTGGGACGGCGGTGATCTATACTTGCACAAATATACACGATAGAAACTGCCATTGAAGCTGGTGGCCCCCTTGGTAGACGACTCGAGGACTTACGATAGTGCCTTGGAGGCTGTAAAGTATGGATGCATGTAATAGTCAACGGCCAACTGGCATTGATAAGATGATGATCGGACCCTAGCCGATTGTGAATGGATATGTAGTTCGCCACAGTGAAATGGCAACCTTTACTTACCCCTGGAGCACTCGGATAGCGCAGCCAAATGTATTTCAAACGCACCCAAGTTCACGTCCTTTTTAATTCGAAATGCATCAAGCATAGAGAGAGGGTGGATAGTGGCCACCATAGGCCTGCGGCACCTGGAAGTTGAACCCGCTGCCTCTTGTTGCTTCTCTACCCACACGAATGAAGGCTCAAGCTTCGTGGGTGAGGCGACCGGTTTAGATAGCACTCGTATTCCCTCGCAGCATCGTGTCCGATCACTAGAAGGAGTGGGGTACGTCATGTGAACGGCAGAAAAACAGGTTCGATCAGTATGAGATACTTCGTGCATGAAGCAGGTTCTGCATCGTCACTCAAGCAAACCGTTAAGCATGACACGGGGTGCTGGCTTGCAATCTAAGCTCGAGACGGAGACGAAAGGTAGGGAAATGTAGGGTAACAGAGCTGGATAAAACACGTAGGGTCGAACTCCTTGGCCAAGGCTTCAATGTGAGCTCCGGTGGTGAATGCGCCGCCCTTCCGGAAGGGTTGTCAGTATCAGCTTGGCTAATAACATGCTTGCATGCAGGACTGTCGCTATCATAGCCGATCAATCATGGCTGTACATCCAAGCGTCCGGTTGAGACCACCATTTTGGGGAATTGTAGCACGCTTCGCAGCCATCTACTGGGCTTTGAAAGGCCCATGTCAGGGTAGTAGCCAAGGGACATGCCCTAGACGCGAAGAACAGTTGGCTGCTTCGAATCGAATACATTCAACAACGTCGTCGGGATTGTCGTATCAGTTTGTGCTCCCGTATGCTCGATCTGGCCCGCATGGTACTCCTGTACGGACTCAACAACGCGTTAGAGAACAACACGAGCTGGGCAAGGTCAATAAAGCACTCATGAAGGAGTTACGAGGTGAATATTATCGAGGAATGAGGGACGAGAGTCTCAATTGTAGAGCGTGCTGCTAAAGACTGACCATCAATCTGGAACATGATCTTTAAGCACGCCGGAAAGAAAGGTCCAAGTACGGATCCTGCCAGCAAATCGCTTTTCAGGCGAGGCTATCATAAACGCAATAGTAGTCCGCTGACTGATTGGCAGGAGAGCAATGGTTGCAATCTAGTCCTGCTTTCCAACAGCCCGGCATGAAGGGAAGAATAGGTAGTTATCTCGCATTATTGGCTAGACGGAGACAGAAATGCGCTCTTCATCGATGGAGAAATAAGGTAATGGAGATCTCTGAGACTAGGCGATTTAAACGACACGAGACATGTTAGTGATCGGTGGGGGCTGTGACGTTTGATCAGTCTACGAAGACGGGAGTTTTCACTCGGCCGAGTGATTCTGGTGTAATTGGGCAATGATCTGATACTAGTAGGTAGCTCGGCAGTCGTCTTTGTTAGGGAAGACCCGAATGCAGATCACCCCGGGCAAACCGAGGAAATCATCCATTTAGTTCGGCCAACCCCACCAGTAACTGTGTTCGCAGATGCTAGATGGATTTTTGACTTCGAACCTGCAACGCACGAAACGCTCTACATGTAGACTGGGCTCGCCGTGCTTGGTGCGACTATCCGGATCCGTCGTGTTAGGATCGCAGCGCGTATATCTGGAGAATCCGCGGTCAACACACCGTTGCAAAAGGTTATCATCTCATGGCATCATCATCTGGCCATCGCCCAGTGTGTATTTTTCCCACCACGACGAAGCTGGGGGCTTGTCATTCGATACCGGGAAGTAAGGATCGATGACATGACGAGACGAGCCACTGCTGACAGGTAGGTGGTGGACTCATCTCCATGAGTGCTGGCGGATTCATCGCGTGACTGCACCGCTATTGGACCGGCCATTGCATTCCAAACTAGGTACCTATGTTGTGTAAGGGACGAAGGGTCCTATCGACGTCTCAATACATAGGTAGTCTAGTGGACGCTAAGAGGAAGCTGTGGAGTAAGATATCTTCTTCGCTGATGTCCTACCTTATTCATCATTCAGTGTCATCGTTGGTGGCGGGAGGCCGGCAGCCCGTGGAGGTCCGAGGAGGTCGGCCGGCTATCATACACACAAGGCGAAGACAAAGATGGCACATGGA